GTAACTTCAATATATATTCCAAATAATCTAGAATACACGTGATGATTTTATCTCATCTGAGATTAAGAAAAGAAAAATTGTTTTTTAATGCAGCTGAAATACAAAAAGTTATTTTGAGAAAAGGTTCAAACAAAAGTACTTTATTAACACAATATTTATTCAACAGACACATTATTGTACAGAAAAATGTTTATCTGAATAAATCAAACAGAATAGCAGATGTGAGAAATCAAAATAATTGTTAATGAACAAGTTTGAGAGATTTTAAAATACAGTGGATGGTTAGTTGAAAAAGCGTACTTTTTTAAACTTTCAAACAATATTTCTTAAATTAAGAAAAAAGTTTGTAAAAAATTATTTGCTATATTCTAATAAATTTCAATCTAACAAAAATAGCAAATTTATAATAGGTAACAGAAGTTTATTACATTAAAACACTAATACATTAGTTCAATAAAATTAATAATGGCAAACAAAATAAATCTGATGAAAATTCAATTTTGACATTTTACAGTATACTAGCAATAGAGTCCGGCGTTGATAAGAGATAGATCAAGTATCGACCATCATAAAGACTGAAAAATAAAATTGACAAAGATTATTGTTTAAGGTTGATGGACACGCATGTCTTAATTAGTTTTTTTTTTTTTTTTTACGAATTGGTCAAACCCAAATTCAAACAAAAACATTGTTTTCAATCGTTGAGTCTACCGATTGAATATAATTTTATTATAAAAAATTGTCTTGTAAATGGAATTTTTAAAGCATTCTGAATGTAAAAATAAAGAAAAAAGTGTGCAAGACAATAAGAAACACTACCTGCCAAAAAAAAAGTGAAGTTTTGTTGAAATCAGTTGAAAAATGTAGGAAATCCAATCCCATATATAAATGAACACACGCATACAAACAAACAACCTGGGTTTTATAATAAGTATAACTCGATATGAGTTGTCTCCCTTTCATTCTCACGACAGCGATGCCTCATAATTGTGTTTTCAAATTGATTTTGTGCAAAAACAATTGTGTTTTTCCAATTTTTGGCGCTGTCAGAATCACCGCAAAGTAATTTTACGTATTCCTGTGAAGTTTTGTTGAAATCGGTTGAAAAATGTAGGAAATCCGATCCAATATATAAACATACAGACACAGACATGAAAATTATGAAAATCCAAATGGAATTTATAATAAAATACAAAACCTCCACTGATATAAATTTGATGAGTGAGAATTTCCTTTGAGAATTTGCTATGAAAGCCAAGAGTTACTAGCTAATTCCATGCTAAAAAATTATCTGGTAATAGAGAAAATTTACCCCCAGTCACTGCCTGTTATAGGTATGGCCTTGCACTGGATTTAAACTTCTGAAGATCAAAGTTGGATAAAAAGCAAGAAACTGAAGAGAGTTCTAAAAGCAAGAAGTGCAAGAAAAGAAACTATTAGCATAGAACTTATGATTACATCAAGACATTTCAACTGTAAAATGATGAGATCTTGCTGCCAATCTAGTACTGCACTTAAATTTATAAAGTCAAGTTACCATAGGGGAAAGATTATCAGAACAATTACCATGAAAGTCATAGGGAAGTTTTATTACAGTGGTGGGAAAGAGACTGAATTTGAGATGCCAGACAAGGACCAATTACATTGCAGATTCCTCTTTGGATTTTATCAAGAATCTCCAAGTATATAACAGGCACACCAAACCATATGTGGCTTCAATATTCTAAGCATGGGTGAATGGTAGACTTCTAAATATGTAAAATAGATCCTGGAGAGAAAAATTGTCTAGCACAACACAGTGAACCAACTCCTTGCTTTGAAAGTGTTATTCTCCAGCAATATGGGATTCAATGTTTTCTTTTCGGCTAAACAGAATTTTTGTTATTACTTATGAATTTGTTTTAATTACACTTTCGTGGCTGGCAGTAGCTCTAGAAACGGACATCATCTTTTATTTGAACATCCCCGTTTATTAAATTTGTAAATAAATGAAATTAATGTTTACTGATCATGATTATTTATTGATAGTATATTCAGTTATCTTAGAAATCTCAAAAGTAGTTTATGAAGTTTCATGCTGATAATTTCCCACTGAATGATTCCTGACAGTTCAGGAGATAATTTGAGGTTGAAAGCAAAGAATGTGGGACATTTAAAATAATTTCTACAATGCAGGGGATCACTAACACACACATACACACAATATCCAAATCAATCACTGAAAATCATTAACACAGTTTATGAACATGAAGTGCAATTCCCACATAAGAAAATGTTCTCTGCAACAATGTAGAATGCAAGAGATCATGAGGCAACTAATACTAACAGTATCAGAGATCATTGTCCTGTCAACATTCCTTGCAAATGCTTGCATTCAGGCAAATGCTTGCAGACTCAAGTATTAACTCAACCAATGAAATGTTTACTTATAGGCTGAAATATTAATCAATGTTTTCCTATAGGTTTAATTGTAAACCAAACTAACGTTTATCTATAGACTCAAGTATAAATGTGACTGATGTTTACCCATAAACTCAAGTATAAACCTGACCAATATTTTCCTATAGACTTACTCAACATATGGTTAACTATAGAGTCAAGTATATAACCAACTAATCTGATATTTTGTTGTTTAGTACCCAAGTGCCACCCATTTTTCTATCTTTGGAAAAAAGTCTGCCCACCCATCTCTTACATTTTTTGAAACTGAAAGGTACCCCCATCTCTTATACCCACACTTATCTGAGTGTCAAGAATAATAAAGCCTATAATAATAACAATAATTTGCCTTCTGAAAAATTCCAATACAAAACTTTCTTAAAAGTTTAAATTGAAATAGTAACTTTAGATGAGCACTCAGGATTCAACTCTTTTATTACAAATGAATGATCAATTTGATTCGCTTGCTATTGATCAATTTGATTCGCTTGCTATTGCTTTATGAAAGGCAACCATTTTTGACTTTGCCTGCATTTTACTGGGAAATAAGGATTATGACTGATCATGTGGAATCCAGGAAAATAGATCAGTTGATCATCACTACAGCCAAATTTGGTACACTGATACGTTTATGGCGTATGACTGAATGAGACACAATTATCCTTCAACAAGCATCTCCATTCAAATGTATAATTTGATTGTTTTCTAGTTGGATTGAAAATGAAGAGGTTTGGATTAGAAATATCTTATTTCACATCAAAATCTCAGAGTCAGAGTCTTTTGAACTTCGAATATACTGTAGTGTTCAGCATTTCTTTCATGAATCTTGGCAGATGAAATTTATATCTGACTTCTTTTTATTAATTTATAGTCTAATAATACAGCTACTTGGAAGAATCACTTCAGTTTACAATTAAGATTTCTTTTGCTCATCACTAATTTTTTTTTCCTCTCAGAAAGATAAGATAAATATTCTTCATTCATATTAGATACACTGGATCCTTACACAGGGTTTAATCATCTTCATTCCCTTCATATTCCATTAGTAAGAAAGAAGTCACATTCAGATAACTTCTTCCCAAGAACCACTACTTTGTGAACAGACTCCCAAGGGGATGCTTCCCTGATAACTACAATCTTAACAGCATAAACTTTTGGATTAGCCATTATTTATTTTTAATAACCTCATTCAGTAACCTTGAGTGGCTCTTGGACCTTGTATTAGGTGATACATATTCTTCATTTTTATCACATATACTGGATGCATACACAGGGTTGAATCATCCTCATCTATTCATATTGCATTGGTAAGAAGGAAGTTCCAAAGTAATGGAAGAATCACTATTTTGTGAAAACAGACTCCTGAGGAGATATTTCTCCGATCACTACAAACTTAACCTCTTCAACTCTTGGATTAACTATTATTTACAATAACCTTGTTCAGTAATCTTCTACCTTGAGTGGCTCTTGGACCTTGTACTGGATGAACAACAATAAAAATTTGCTGTCAGTGTCTATGGCTGCTGCATTGCCTAACATTTTACACCAAAATGTCTGTTTGTTTAAAAAAAGAAAAAAAAAGGAGTTGATCTAGAATAATGGCATTTTAGTCCTCTTCGAAGATCTCCATTTGGGACCTCATATATTTATCCCAGTCTTTCAAAAAACACTGCAAAGTTCTCTTTAGTGACTGCCATCAGCTGCCTTGTAAAATTCTCCTTAATTTGTCCCTGGTGTTTTCATGGCAACTTTACCTTTGGGAAAAGTTGCTAAACACTTACATCTTTGACAGAGTTCAAAAGCATCTACATGGCCTTGTAAGTGATGAATTATTTTCCACTCTACAACCACATTCCCACAGACAAAACAACACAAGCTACTTACTACTCTATTACTATTTCCATGGCAAATATTCAGACAAGCTACATTCCTTAGTTCCACCAGTATTGAGAAATATGTATTATGTAGGATACATAACAGTTGACCCTCGACTTGAATAGGTTAAGATTGTAGGGATCAGACACACATCCCCTCGAATGTCTGTTTCACAAAAAAAAGCAGTTCTTGGGAAGAAGCTATCCAAATCAAACTTCATTCTTATGGTCACAACTTGGTAAGGGGGTCCATAATAACAACAACACAGTTTAGTCTGGTTACTTCTGTCAGCAGAAGTGATATTCCTGCTTTTTATTCACACATAACAATATGGACAACACTGTACTTCCATGTCTGAACAATGGCATTTCCGTTTCTTTAGTTACTGGTTACAACACTTACAAATGGTAATACAATGGAATACAAGGGGAATGATGATTCGTCTCTGTCATATAGATGAACACAAAATAAATCATTGGAAATTTAGCTCAGCTCTCTGATTAACAATTCCGAGCTATTATCTATTATACCACCCACGCATCCAAGCTTACAGCATTTGGTATTCCTAATTGGTCACCCATTTCAGTACTGACCAGGTTCGGTGCTTAACTTCGGCGATTGTACAAGAACTAGTGTTTCAATATGATATAGCCATAAGCCATAAGCACCTGCACATCCAAGCTAAAACAGCATTTGGTATTCCCAAGCGGTCACCCATATAGTTACTGATTAAGCTTGATGTTGCTTAACTTCAGTGATTGTATGGGAACCAGTGTTTCAAAGTTATGTGACCATACATCTCCCCCCCCCAAATACTTGTGTATAACGTGACCCCCTATTTTTTGCGTCAAAAACTGATCATAAAAACTAGCACTAAATTCAAGTATATACAGTAATTAACAATGTTTTATCCAATACAAATATTATTCCTAAAATTATACTTCAGTATAACACTGCTTTTTTTCTACCCATGTTAGTCAACCTTAAGGAGTCAGAAGCTATTTAAGTAAAATTTCCTCAGATTGGAATCAAAGTGAGCCTGTTTAGTGGTAATTTCTTTTTAGTATACATCACTTCAGGAGGTTTGTCATGTAGATGAATAACACAAAACAAATTGTTTAGTTTATTTGCATATTCATGACGTTCAATGTAACTTAATGTGAACATTATCTCAATATAACATTAAACTTTACGCCAAATTGCTTTAGTTTTAAATGCAAGCATTCAAAAGAATAAAAATAATTCAAAGTACTTTTGCATTAGCTGCTGGAATCTAAGATATTTTTGTGACTTCATGTCAGCAAAATCCAAAATATCTTATCGTTGCGTTTTTCTTTTTTTTATTCTTCTATGTGCCACGTCATTTTAAAATTAAAAAAAAATTCAAAACAATTCTTGTAAAAATTAATTATTCATCAAACAATCTTTTTTTTTTTTTTTTTTTAGACAATGGAGTCCATATATTTTATTCAGGAAAGCAATTAAAAAAAAGCTTTACTAATTAAATAACATCTTAGCTTTTTTATATTCACTATTTGGGGTAGATTTTCTACAACGGAAGGTCCTGTTTAAAAGCCCTCCCCCCACAAAAAAAATTTGATGATTTTAAATTCTCCGAAGACTTTTTGATTTTTTTTAATTATAACTAATTTAGGTAAATTTTCATTTCAACACCCGAGCGCTATTATTCCTTCAAATTTTTCCAAACTAGTCTTATTTCCGTGCAAATGTATATGCTGAACTCAAATCAACAATTAGATATTAAAGAAACCTACCTTTTTGGATGGTAACGACCAAAAAAACATCAAACTTCTTCTTGCTCTTTTTGTCATCCCTTACCGGCTTATTGATAAGTAATTAAGTGCTGAATTACGTCGGTGGACGTATACAATTTGGGCCTACTTACTCCCTTCACAGTAATTCCTTGTAGTTAACTTTCATATTAGGTTAGGTGTTTGTTTTTTTTTTTTTGTTATTCTTTTTATTTTTTAAAGAATAAAGTTAACTCTAAAATTAGGGTTAGGTGTTTTTTTTTTCTTTTGTTATTCTTTTATTTGTCGATGTTTACATATATTTGAAAGTTAACTTTATTCTTAAATTAAGTACAAAAAAATCGCTTTACGGAAACGCGTACTAATTTCTGAAAGAAAATAGTTCAGCAGTAAATGACGCTCGAGTGTTAAAATGAAAATTTACCCTAATTCAAGCGATACAAAAAAGAATTTCTCGAAATTTCATAAAGTAAATGATAGGTGTGGGTGACACATGTAAAGAAAAAAATAATTTTTACCATGACCATGTAAAAAAAAAACATTTCAAAAATAATTTCATTAATTTCTGAATTCCTGGAAGTTTCATTACAATCCGACAATTATTTGGTATTAGCAATTTATATTCCAAATCAATGTTTTTAAACGCAAAAAAAGCTCTCAAATTTCCAGTTGGCACCAAACAAAAAAGATTTAACCAAAATTTCCAAGGTTCTAAAAAGGGGAAAAAATTACATTAAAAAATCCTTTGATTTTTCCTCTTTGTCTTCTTAAACAAAGAAATTTTGATGATAATTTTTTTCATATTTTGATTTTAGACATTTTTTTTTATGATGTAGTCTCCTTTTTTTTAGCGAATTTTTGTAGGTACCTACTTTAATACTTGCTTTAAGCCTTAAAGTTTTCCTTCATTTGTTTGGAGTTTTACAGCTATCCCTGTCAATCTCGGTTCATCAACAAAAATACTTTACAAATAATTCTTGGCTGTTTGATCTTTCAATCAAACAATTCAATTTTTAGCAGAAAAGTCGGGAAATTTTTTTATTAACTCACCTATTTTAAAACCATTGTGGACTCTTCTAATTTTCTAACCTTCTTTAAAAAAAGCATAATCCATATTATACGCCTACGCGCAGATAACGCTCAACCAATAAAAATGCAAAGAATCGAATCAAGCAATTCTATTGGTAGATCGCCTCCCAAAGCAAAATTGCGCCAAAAATATCTTGAGCCACTTTCGAAAAACCCAAAAGGTTATAAAAGGGAAAAAGACAACCCCAGTCAGTCAGTCCAGCTCACTTTTGAGCGACTGCACGGTTCAACTCTCTGTCTCCGGACGGAGGAACCCGAAGGAGGCTACGCCGAAGGGCGAAGTCTCCTTCAGGGAGGTTAAACGTTCGGCCCTGAACCCGTTTATACGGGTTCAAATGGCTATTTTTTTGGCTGAGCCTAATGGCTCAGGAATGCCCACATTAAAAAAGGCCTTGTGCCGCATGCACCCTCGTGGGTGGGTGACTGAATATCTCAGTCCAGCTCACTTTTGAGCGACTGCACGGTTCAACTCTCTGTCTCGGACGGAAGGAACCCGAAAGGAGCTACGCCGAAAAGTCTCCTTCGGGAGGTTAAACTGGCCCTGAACCCGTTTATACAGGTTCAAATGGCTATTTTTGGCTGAGCCCTAATGGCTCCGGGAATGCCCACATTAAAAAGGCCTTGTGCCGCATGACACCCTCGTGGGTGGGTGACTGAATATCTCAGTCCAGCTCACTTTTTGAGCGACTGCACGGTTCAACTCTCTGTCTCCGGACGGAAGGAACCCGAAGGAGGCTACGCCGAAAGGGCGAAGTCTCCTTCGGGGAGGTTTCGCTCGGCCCTGAACCCGTTTATACGGGTTCAAATGGGCTATTTTGGCTGAGCCTAATGGCTCGGGAATGCCCACATTAAAAAGGCCTTGTGCCAAATGACACCCCTCGTGGGTGGGTGACTGAATATCTCAGTCAGCTCACTTTTTGAGCGACTGCACGGTTCAACTCTCTGTCTCCGGAAAGGAACCCGAAGGAGGCTACGCCGAAGGGCGAAGTCTCCTTCGGGAGGTTAACTCGGCCCTGAACCCGTTTATACGGGTTCAAATGGGCTATTTTTTGGCTGAGCCTAATTCGGGAATGGTACATTAAAAAAGGCCTTGTGCCGCATGACACCCTCGTGGGTGGGTGACTGAATATCTCAGTCCAGCTCACTTTTGAGCGACTGCACGGTTCAACTCTCTGTCTCCGGACGGAAGGAACCCCGGGGAGCTACGCCGAAGGGCGAAGTCTCCTTTTTTCGGCCCCTGAACCCGTTTATACGGGTTCAAATTTTTTTGGCTGAGCCTAATGGCTTGGAATGCCCCATTAAAAAAAGGCCTTGTGCGCATGACACCCTCGTGGGTGGGTGACTGAATATCTCAGTCAGCTCACTTTTGAGCGACTGCACGGTTCAACTCTCTGTCTCCGGACGGGAGGAACCGAAAACGCCGAAGGGCGAAGTCTCCTTCGGGGAGGATTAGTCCGGCCCTGAACCCGTTTATACGGGTTCAAATGGACTATTTTTTGGCTGAGCCTAATGGCTCAGGAATGCCCACATTAAAAAGGCCTTGTGCCGCATGACACCCTCGTGGGTGGGTGACTGAATATCTCAGTCCAGCTCACTTTTTGAGCGACTGCACGGTTCAACTCTCTGTCTCCGGACGGAAAGGGACCCGAAGGAGAGCTACGCCGAAGGCAAAAGTCTCCTTCAGGGAATTAACCGGCCCTGAACCCGTTTATACGGGTTCAAATGGGCTTTTTTTGGCTGAAATGGCTCGGGAATGCCCACATTAAAAAGGCCTTGTGCCGCATGACACCCTCGTGGGTGGGTGACTGAATATCTCAGTCCAGCTCACTTTTTGAGCGACTGCACGGTTCAACTCTCTGTCTCCGGACGGAGAGGAACCCGAAAGGAGGCTACGCCGAAGGGCGAAGTCTCCTTCGGGGGAGTCGCTCAGCCCTGAACCCCGTTTATACGGGTTCAAATGGGCTATTTTTTGGCTGAGCCTAATGGCTCAGGAATGCCCACATTAAAAAAGGCCTTGTGCCGCATGACACCCTCGTGGGTGGGTGACTGAATATCTCAGTCCAGCTCACTTTTTGAGCGACTGCACGGTTCAACTCTCTGTCTCCGGACGGAGAAGGAACGAAAGGAGCTACGCCGAAGGGCGAAGTCTCCTTCAGGGGAGGCGCTCGGCCCTGAACCCGTTTATACGGGTTCAAATGGGCTATTTTTGGCTGAGCCTAATGGCTCAGGAATGCCCACATTAAAAAAGGCCTTGTGCCGCATGACACCCTCGTGGGTGGGTGACTGAATATCTCAGTCCAGCTCACTTTTTGAGCGACTGCACGGTTCAACTCTCTGTCTCCGGACGGAAGGAACCCGGAGGCTACGCCGAAGGGCGGAGTCTCCTTCGGGAGGATAAACAAAGCCCTGAATCCGTTTATACGGGTTCAAATGGGCTATTTTTGGCTGAGCCTAATGGCTCGGGAATGCCCACATTAAAAAAAGGCCTTTGTGCCGCATGACACCCTCGTGGGTGGGTGACTGAATATCTCAGTCAGCTCACTTTTTGAGCGACTGCACGGTTCAACTCTCTGTCTCCGGACGGAAAGGAACCCGAAGGAGGCTACGCCGAAGGGCGAAGTCTCCTTCGGGAAATACGGCCCTGAACCCCGTTTATACAGGTTCAAATTTATTTTTGGCTGAGCCTAAGGGCTCGGGAATGCCCACATTAAAAAGGCCTTGTGCCGCATGACACCCTCGTGGGTGGGTGACTGAATATCTCAGTCCAGCTCACTTTTTGAGCGACTGCACGGTTCAACTCTCTGTCTCCGGACGGAGAGGAACCCGAAGGAGGCTACGCCGAAGGGCGAAGTCTCCTTCGGGAGGTTTTGCTCAGCCCTGAACCCGTTTATACGGGTTCAAATGGGCTATTTTTGGCTGAG